AAAGAAAGAAAGAAAGAAAGAAAGAAAGAAAGAAAGAAAGAAAGAAAAGAAGGAAGGAAGGAAAAAGAAAGAGAGAGAGAGTGCCAGGTATGGTGGCATACACCTGTAATCTCAGCACTTGAGGGGTTGAGTCTAGGCCAGTCTGTCTGGACAACAAAGCGTGTTTCAGGACAACCTGGGATAAGGGATTCCATCAAATAAAAAAGAGAAGCATCTAGGATTTCTAAATCGATGAGCACAAAGCTGCCCCCTCCCCCACGGAGGAGAGGGTGGGGGGAGTCTAGTCTCCCAGGAAATGTCGGGAGGGGGAGCTGCCCCAGAACCGGACTCAGGCCGTTTCTTCCCGCATTGCCTGTGTCTGGGGTAGCATTGGGTGGGAGGTTGGCCAGGGGACCAGACGTCTTCAGCTAGCAAGACGTGAGGCCCTAGGCAGTCCAGGAGAGATGGGAACAGCAGGTGGGCAGCGCCTGTGCTCAGCTCCTTGCCAAAGGGCAGGTAATAGGTGGTGCGCTAGCAGTGACCTGTTTCAGCACCACTGAGGCCCACGGTTACCACTCCCAGTTAGCAACTACCAGAGGAAGCCCCCTGCTCGGATTGGTGTGAGCAGCAAGGGTAGGAGAGGGGGTGAGCGGCTTGTAGCCTGGGTCATAACATAGGCAGGCATCACCACAGTGCTGGGTGTCTGAGTAGAGAGCCAAGATCTGAGGGACCCTGTCCCCACCCCAGGGTTCCTTGACCCTCCATGGTGTAGCCTCCTCAGTGGTGCTGGGGCAAAGCAAAGCAGGAGGAATTGTGGGAAAGAGGGGCCTCTGTCTGTTCCTTTAGAACCAAAACCCAGACAGCAACCATGGGATGGAGGCCAGTTTGTAAAAGCACGGGTGAAATGAGCTAGAAGGGGATTGGGAACAAGTCCCACAGTGTCCTGAGCCACATTCCTTACTCTGGGGAGACGGAGATGGATGGTGCTGAGCAGGGAAGGAGGGGTGCTGGGGGCGGGCTTCTCCTGCTGAGAGCTCTCCTGCCAAGAGCAGGGTGGGAAAGTGGAGCTTCAGGATGCACAGGACGCCTGCACAACAAAGGCTGTTTCCCCTCAGCCTCAGTGCCAAGAGGGGCCTCCTTGGGTCCTGCCCAGAGAACCTTGGAAATGCTGGCCAGAGGGAGAGGGCCTGCAGGGCAGGAGCCTTAGAAACCACCCGGCCCCTCTGGGGCTCTGTGGGCAAGTGGGGCATCTGTAAGCGCCTGTCGGAGCAGGGCCCTGGGCCCATGTGCTTTTGAGCCTCTTCCGGAGGTAGCTGCTGAGGGCCCCAGAGCAGCCTCCAAGAGGCTGACCCTGGAGATGTTTGAGACTGGTCAGAGATCTGGTCAGAAGGACTGGTTCCCAAGGTGCTAGGTCGGCATCAGGAAAAGCTACAGCCTCTACCTCTGGTCCCCTGGCCAACCCCCCACCCAATGCTACCCCAGACACAGGCAATGCGGGAAGAAACGGCCTGAGTCCGGTTCTGGGGCAGCTCCCCCTCCCGACATTTCCTGGGAGACTAGACTCCCCCCACCCTCTCCTCCGTGGGGGAGGGGGCAGCTTTGTGCTCATCGATTTAGAAATCCTAGATGCTTCTCTTTTTTATTTGATGGAATCCCTTATCCCAGGTTGTCCTGAAACACGCTTTGTTGTCCAGACAGACTGGCCTAGACTCAACCCCTCAAGTGCTGAGATTACAGGTGTATGCCACCATACCTGGCACTCTCTCTTTCTTTTTCCTTCCTTCCTTCTTTCCTTTCTTTCTTTCTTTCTTTCTTTCTTTCTTTCTTTCTTCTTTCCTTTCTTTTTTAAGACATGGTCTCTCTCTGCAGCCCTAGCTGTGCTGAAACTCACTATGTAGACCAGGCTGGCCTAGAATTTACAGAGATTCACCAGCCTTTGCTTCCCAAAAGCTGGGATTAAAGGTGCAAGCACCACACTTGGCACTTTTCACTTTGGGATTATTCTGACTAACTCTGCCTGACATTAACAAGTCTTGAAGTATCTATACTGCAGATGCCTAAGGCTCTCCAAAGTGCCCTCAGCTCAGTGGCTCTCGCCTGAGTAAGTCTTCGATGGGAGCTTTAAAAAAGGTGGGCTCTGGGCCTGCCTGCATCAGGACTGTCTGGGGCTTGGATTTCAGGCCTGTGTTCCCAGCGTGCACTCTGGCTGCTCTCTGAGGACCTTCCTGTTGGCTGAACCACTGCCTTGGTTAGAGGGCTCCAGGCCCCCTTCTCCCACCTCTAGTATCACTGGAGTTTATCTCAATTTTGTCTTAGCTGATCATTCCTCCGGTTAAAAAAAAAAAAAAAGCCCGCTAACGTGGTGTCCAGCAAGAAGGCGGCCAAGGCAGTTCTGGGTTCACCTGTCACAGAAGACCCAAGAGGGCATCTAGCCTTCTAACTTGCTCTGCTCTGGTGTCACCTTGAGAACTTTGCTCTAGAGGAGAACTGGCCCCAGAAGCACTTGCCAGACTCCCTTGGATCCATGTGATGTGAAACATGGCGGGCGGGAGGGCAGAGGTGGGTTAGGTGGGGCCAGCACCGGAACCGGTGGCTGCTGGTTTGAACCCCAGCCACGGTGGTGGCTTATTGGCATGAGCTACCGCGGAGCCTTGCTTCGGGGGGCTGGGGGGTGAGGGGGCAGTGTGTGCCTTCTCGGTCTGACCCCAAAGCCAAAGCTCCCAAAGCCGGTGCAGGTCCCCTCGCCGAGAACGGCCCAGACAATGGTGCTCTATCCCGGGAGCACGGCCGCCCCCTGCCCGGCCGACCCTTTCAGGCTGGAAGCCGGCGGCGGGACGCTGGCCGCCTGGAGCATTTGCATACGGCCGGGGGACAGTAGCCCGCTTTGTTGGCTGCGCACGGGGGCGCCGGGCGGTGGGCGCAGCGCGCCAGACAAAGCCACCGAGGAAGGGAGGGCGACGGCCACCGGGTCCGCACCTCGGATGCCGCGCCGTGTCTAATTCCTCCAAGGAGCGGCCCGCGCCGTGACGCGAATCCCAATGCGCCCAACCCGTCGCAGGTTCCTCCGGGCCAGGTAGCTTCCCAGCCCACACCAAAGAGGGCGGCTGCTAGAGCACCCTAAGGTCCTGGCCTCCTGACCTGTGACCTTGGACATGACCTTGCTGTGAGTATACACAGAGCGTGCCAAGGCAGAGTAGGGGCACTCCTTTGGGGACTTTCTGCAAGCCTTCCAGAGCAGGAAGGAGGTGAGGAGCCATCCTTGTTCCCAGGGCTCAGGCACCGGGACCGGACAGAGTTCATGAAGAGGCAAGGGTACTCTTGTCCTTCATTGAGAGTGATAGCATGCTGATCAGAGGGGCTGGGCCTCAGAGGCAGAGGCCTCATTGTCCTGAGGGACCACATGGCCCTGTCCTTGGTCCCCCCTGACCTGCTCATTGTCACTCTGTTGACCCATTCTGAATAGATAGGTCACCGTGAGGGAGACCAGTGATGATGAGGCCGGGGCTCCTGGCAAGAGAAAGTGGTTCCTGTCTTTTCAACCCCTCTCAGAAATCTACAGTGGATGAAATGGAACACTCTGTAGGACCCATCATGTGCCCCTGCAATTAAGGCAAATAGGGAAATGAAAACATTCCCAGTGAGCAACCAAAGGTGTGGTTTTTAAAGAGCTGGGCCAGAGCAGCAGGACCAGGGTGCCAGGGCTGGTGGTGGAGTCTGTGTCCCTGTGCACATGGGGGCTTTGTGGTGGTGAGGAAGCTTAGAACTCACTGGTGACAAGGTACACTGGGTACACAAGCTTTCTCATCTTGACCCCCTCCTCAGGGACCAACCCGGGCCCAGCAGCTTTTTGCCCACTTGAAGCTGACTGAGCAATTGCCTTATCCAAAAAAAGGGCTCAAATGTCCCTTCTCCAGGAAGTCTCCCTGGATTGAGATGGCTTCTCCTAATGCTGGAAGAGCCCATTTTTTCAGGACTAAAGAAAAGGCTTGGTTTCAGTTCAGAATGAACCAGAAGCAGAGAGGGCCATACTGAGAACCTTGGTGTCGTGAATAAGAGAATGTTCACAGCTTTCCTTCACCGGAAAGGCCTAGGCAGCAACTGGGGGCAGAGCATGCCAGCTGGCTGTCCACCGTCATCCAGAGCTGGGTCCAAACTACTTCTCCACAGTGACTGGGAGCCTTCTGCTTCAGTCCTTGGAGAGGGCTGAGGGAACAAGAGGATAGCTCCCCAGAGAGCTTGTTCTACCCTCACTCCAGCTGGACTGGACAGCTCAGGAGCCTACTGGGCAGCTTGGCCTCTCTCCAGGGGCTGGGGCTCAGACGTGTACTTTGTCTTTGGGTGCCTGGCTCTGAAGTGCCTTAGTTTGGAGGCACAGGTGTCTGGAGTTGTATCCAACTCTTGCCAGAAGCCCACTGGCAGATCAAGCGAGGAAAGGACAAGGTGGCTCCCACCTGCTGGAGGCATGAAGTCCCTGTGAGTGGGATTAGGTGTGAAGTTTCTGGCATCACCTGACATATAGGAAGGGTGGCCCTCCGGAAAGGCTGTGGCATGGATGCCCGAGGACCTAGGTTGAGACGTGGAGTTGGCATCTTTGGCTGGTTTTAGAGTGCCCTCTTGTGGTCAAATGATTCAGACCAACGGGAGGCCTGCTGCGTCCCTCATCCGCAAGCCCAGAGCTTCAGGACAGAATGGTGAACTGGCTGCTGAGGTTTGGGGCAGACCGTTCCTTATGATGTCGCACTCTGCTAAGCAGTGGAGAGCCAGCTGAGGGCCAGGGAGGCAGTTGAGGAAGGACCAAAAGGATTTGGGGCAGCATCAGATGGCTTCAGACACAGATTTTCTAGACCATAATGCCCCCCGTCCCCCCGGAAAGGATGGACCAAGCTGGGATGTACACAACAGGGTGCAGTTCTGTGCCCCAAGGAGGGGCTGTCAACACTGAAGCCCTTGATTGCCAGAGGCTGAGTTGAAGGGAAGAGGCGCAAACAGAAAGTATCGGAGGCTTTGGTGACAGGGTTGTTTATCACCCGGGGGCCGCTTCAGATGCCACTGGAACAGGGTGACACGGGCCAGTGTGCCAGCTGTCACCCAGGGCTGGCTTTGGCCTTTTCTGGCCACAGGTGCAAGCTAATAGGGATCTGCCTAGGGCGGCAGGTTCCTTCTGGCCCCAGACTCCTTAGCACAGTAGTAACAAGGGCAGAGGAGGCTTTCTTGGCAGAAGCCACTGTCTGCTCTGAGGACAGTGTCATGCCTGGCAGCGCCGTCGTCATCTCCTCTGAGGACAGAGTCATGGTGGCAGCAATCAGGCCTAGGTATCTGTCTCCTCAGCCCTCAGAGGCCCCTGGGCCTCAGGCTCTTGCTCTCCAGGTACCTGCAAGGCAGGGAGGGGTGAAGGAAAGTTCCAGCGGGTTTGAGAAGGAGCCCACAAACATGGAAAGAGGAAAGTAGTAGCCCAGAGGAAAGGCGAGGAAGCAAAGGGAGGGGTCAGGGGCCATAGCTGTGTCTTACCTCCCAGTAAATCTGGTCCTCGAAGCACTGGGAGTCTGGAGGGGAGTCCAGGAATGGCAGCCTCAGCAGGAGCCCTACTGGCCACAGGGAGGATGTGTAAGAGTCCTCTGTCCCTGCTCAGGAGGGAGGTCGCCACCTTGGGCCTTACAGGTTGGGTAAGCTGAGGCCAACATAGACCCAAGCCTGTGCCAAGGGCTTTCTGAGAAGGTACGGCCCTGCTAGGTGGCTCCACCCCAAATTACCTACAAAGAAACCAGCTGCTAGAAGTGAAGGAATGCGTTCATGTGTGCAGCTATCTTGTGACTCCATTATGAAGCATAGCTGCTGATCTTTTTGTGGCCTCCGACATGGGGGGTGGGGAGGACCCAGGGCATCGTTAGTACCTGAAACATGACCTGGGGAACTCGACTGTAGAGAACGGAATTTTCAGGAGGACGGTGGGTGCGGGAGGGTAGGGATGTTACAGGTTTTGTTCTTAAGGCCAGATATCAAGAGGGGATGCCCCACCTAGGGCTAGTGAGCAGACCGCTTCTGCAGAAGGCTTTGTGCTCCACTCCAGGGTGAGCGAGGCCTCCTACCTTCTGTCTGCGGCTGCCCAGGGGAGGTGCCTGAACTGCAGCTGTGGTTGGACTGCCCTCTAGTGGCAGAAGAGAGCAGCACGGGAAAATGGGCACATAACCCTCCCTTCCCTCTGTAGGGTGTGGCCTCACAGCAGCACCTGCCTAGTCAGAGGCCGCCCCCTCACTGGCTCAGGCAGGTGCGCAGAAAGGATCTTGGCAGAGGTTAGCCTGCACACATGACACAGTATCCCGCGCCCCTCCTCCTGGCCACCCTTTCTTGGAGCTCTCACCCACCTCCAAGGCTGCCACCCACTGAGGCGAACACCAGGGTGACAAACATTCCAAAGAGCTGATACACAGCCTGGGATGTGGCGCTGCGCTGGCCGTTGGCTACGAGTGGAAATACATCCTGCAGGCTGAAGGGAGAGCAGACAAAGATGGGTATGGAACAGGCAGCCAGGGCTGGTCACTGTGGGAAGACAAAGGGTGTCCAGGGATCCCGGATGTTGCTCAGGCCTCATCTCAAGTGCCCTTCTCTCCTAAGCCGGCCAACCCCATGTACCTTTCAGAACCCAGTCCAAAGTCTGCCCTCCTAGCTCACAGCGTGAGCTGTAGATACTCTTACTGGTCCTGCAAGAATGCTCAATGCTCTTGAAACTGTTTTCTTAGTGACCGTCCACAGAACTGACCAGGAGGCCAGGCCTGGGCAGGACCTCGGTTCTCACCATATGGTGGGCGAATGGCCAAATGGATGGATGAGAACAGATGGGGACTTTTCTTGGCTCTCAGAGGAGAAGGGAGGTCATTTCAGAGTGGGTTAGGGAGGACTCACCCATCCCCGTAGGCTTCGTGGGTGGCCAGGGCCGCCACCAGGACCCCCAGGATGGCCCCCAGGAGCCCTGGCACTCCGTGGAGGTTGTGGACGCCACATGTGTCCTGCACTTTGAATCTGGATTCAAGGACAGGCTGGAGGACAGGATGGCTAATCAGGCTAGGGCAAGCCACCTATCGCTATCAGGACCTGGTGGAGAAGCAGCAGGAGGCTGGGAGCCCTGTGCTCCCAACCCACACTCCTGCCCTCCCCTGTTTTATCCCGAGAAGCAACCATACCGTAAAGAACTTATACCCCAGCGTGGAGACGGTGCCAGCCAGGAAGCCAGCTGCCAGAGCTCCAAAGGGTGTCAGCATCATTTCGCTTGCTGTCCCCACCACGACACCTCCAGCCAGTGCTGCATTTTGGACATGGATCTAAGGGGACAAAAAGGAGCAAGATATCTTAGTGCGTCATCACACCCACACATCCCAGCATTCCTCGTGACAGAGGCAGCTCTTGCTTCTGGAGTCCTTCTGTCGCCTGGCCATCAACTCTCCAGCTTTCACATACTCTCCCATCCTACTCTAATATCACTCCTCTGCTTGCCGATAGAGGTTCGGGGCTTTCCCTTGGGGACCTCCATGGAGGCTCTTAGATATCGCTCCCCTTTGTCAGTCTGTCCACCTACTTCCCCATACCATGTCCAGGCGTCCATCCCCGCTGACAAGGGCTGACAAGGCGAAGGTGCTGAGGGTGCTTGCAGTGAGCGAGTAGTACGTGTTGAGTGCTGTCCGATGCTGCCCGTCCCCCAGTGCTGTGGGCGCAGAGTTGAAGCTGGGCCAGAAAACCCACAGGAAGATGGTCCCTAAACAGCAGGTAGCCACAGTGAGCGTCTGTAGTGAGCAGCTCTGTCACTAGGGGGCGCTGCATGGCAGCTCCGTTATTACTGATGTGTTTCCTCAGCGGTTTCTGGAATTGATAAAAACACCGTCTTCTACGGTGAGGGTTGAGCGAATGATGTATAAATGCCTGCTTCATGGCGCAGCAGGACTAAGAAGGGCCTGGGGTGGAGCTCAGTGGAACAGCACCGGCCTAGCACATGAGGTGGCTCCCATCCCCATCACACCCCCCTTAAGAACCAGAAAAGGAAAGGGGGCCGGGTAGAGGCTGCTACAGGACAGCAGATATGGACACTGGTATGGGGAGTGTGTGTGTGGGGGGGGTGGCTGTAGCAATGCAGTTAGTTCCCAGAGAAGTTGGTCCAAACAGACCTCGGGAGCCTGCTCGCCAAGCCTGGGGGTGGGGGGTGGAGGACGAGGAAGGCACACCTGCTCAGAACTGGGGCAAATAGCAGGTCTCTACTTCAAGTGTGTGTGTGTGTGTGTGTGTGTGTGTGTGTGTGTGTGTGTGTGTCTTTTTGAAACATGGTTTCTCTGTGTATTCTTGGCTGTCCTGGACTCACTCTGTAGACCAGGCTGGCCTCAAACTCACAGAGATCCGCCTGCCTCTGCCTCCCAAGTGCTGGGAAAACAGGGTGAGCCACCTCCAGGCCCTGCTTTAAGTCTTACAGACTAACCTCAGGGGGGGAGGAGAAGCTGGGACTCTGCAGGGTGGGCCAGCAAGGCAGGAGCCTGGGTGTTAACCTGTACCCTTCACTTTGGCGCAAAATCCTAATGCTGCCTCAACACGAGGACCTTCTCAGTGTCCGGTGCCCAGTTCGCAAGCTTCAGAAAACCCGCCCCTCCCTCCCCTTCCCTGACCACTTTGCCTTGGAAACCTCATAAGTGAAGGGTTGCTAAGGGCAAGGAGGGATCAGCTGTTTCCCAGTGAGCCTAAAACTGGGCGAGAAAATCATACCAGCCCTGTTTATGCAAGAGCAGGAACCGAAGGCCATATTCAACATCCCCTAAGAAATACGGGCTCCAGATGGCAGGCTGTGAGCATAGACAGAGACCAGCAGAGGTAGAAACCTGGGGAAAGCAGGCCCTACTGATTCCTGGGGTGATCCAGGGCCCCGACTTCCCTGCCTGACTGTGGCTGTTGTGGGGAGGAGTCCTTAGGCTGAGGAAGCCAACCCAAACACAGGTGGTCCAGACTGTGCAGGGGGAGGGATAGCTCCACACATGTGGGCCTTGTAGCCCAGGAAGGTTTCAAGCAGGACTGAGATGGTCTTGGAAAGGCCCCAGGGACTGGTGTGGGCATATGTATACCCCAGTGCTGAGTCATAAATTAGGGGCGGTGATGAGCGTGGGTCTTAGGCCCCTCAAAACGCAAATAGGAGGGACCCAAAGAATGGCTGGCCATGCCAGGAGACCTTCCTAAGGCAGGGGCCTCTGTATCCCAATGCCTCTTCACCTCAGTAGGCCTCACCAATCATGGCAAAGAGGTCAGAGTGGTAGACAGAGCTCTGGCGTTGCCTGCTCTTCTCCAGCTGGGATCTGTAGAGGACCCGTGACAGGAACAGCCCAAAGTAGGCCCCAAATGTGTGAATGGTCATGGACCCTCCCGCATCTCTCACCTGGGGGAAAGATAGAGGAGGTGAGGCAGCCCCTGCCCCCACCCAGCTCTCCTCTCTCAGAGCTGGACCGACACCCAGGTCTCACCCACTCCTGGCCAGACTTACCCCCAGGAGACTGAGCAGTATAAACTCGTTGACACTAAACAGCACTGCCTCCCATAGGGCCATTAGCAGCAGCTGGGCAGGCCCAGTCTTGCCCAGAACAGCCCCGAAAGAGATGAGCACAGCACCGGTACAAAAGTCAGCGTTGATCAGGCTGCAGGGTGGGAGGAGTGGAAGGACAGGAAAGTGGTTCTGGAGTGGCCCCAGGCCCCGTCAGGCAGAGGGGCATGGTGGGAGGGCATGCAGGGCAGGGTAAGGAGAGGCTGCACTAGGCCATCCTTCCCTGGGTATCAGAGGAGTCCCAGCCACTCTTGGAGAGGAGGGAGGAGCCCCTCTGAAGCTTGAAGAAGCGGCAGAGAGGCAGAGATATTCCCTTCCACCTGATGGGAGGGGTGTGTGGGCGTGGCTCAGACAATGAGAACAGTCGGTGTCCTGGAGAAGGTGGTTTGGTTATGGGGCAAAGCAGGGGGCAGGGCTCGAGTGGACACCCTTGGGGGGTAAGGTCTCTGGGGGAGTCTGGGACTGACAATTGCCCACCTTTCTATGCCAACGTGGATGTGGCCACCATGGAAGGAATGGAGGAAGCCTTGGACCAGTGTGGCCCACTGAATGGTGAAGGTAGCCACGAGGAAGGTAAAGCCCACGCTGCTGAAGCCGTACCGATGCAGGAAGACCATGAGGAAGCCAAAACCCACGAAGATCATGACGTGCACATCCTGGAAGCCTGCGGAGGCGCGGGCAGGGGCGGAGAGAAAGGAGTGGTATCAGTGTGGACCAACAGAGGCCCTGCCAGTGTCCGGCTCCTCCAGGCAGGCCTTCCTTGGAGCAGCACCATACTGGTAGAATTCCTGGGCCTAACAGGCCGCCTACCCTGAGCACCCTTGGAGCAGCAGGACCAGGCCTTCCTTGCTATCCCGGCTCAAAAGAGAAACTACAGCTTCCTGCTGTCTCGTCGGCTCGCCTTCTACCTGACCCATTTGCTCACCTGAGCAGGAAGTCAAGCCACTTCTCTCTGCTGCTGCAGCCCTGGCTCCTCCTTCCTTCTGGAAAGTCCCCCTCTCCGTCTGTGTGCAGTGTGTGCGTGTTCTCATGCATTTGTGTGCGTGCACACACGTGTGCTCTATGTGTAGAGGTAGATGTGTTCTCCTGCATCATGCTCCACCTTCGTGAACCAGGACCTCACCAACATGACCAGAGGGGATGGCCAACAAGCCCTGGTCTGTCCATCTCTGCCCTCAGTGCTGAGACCATGAATGAGCCTTGCTATGCTTGACTTCTACCTGGGTGCTGTGGATCTGAACTCAGGTCCTAAGGCTTGCACAGAAGGCACTTCACCTCCGGAGCCATCGCTCCAGCCCCAGGGAAGCCCTTCTTGACGTCTAACTTCCGCTTCTCATCTTTCAAAGTCTACACCTCACTATTTTGAGATTTAGAATAAAAATAAATTAGGAAATGGCTTTGAGTTGCTAACAGGGATTAACAACATCCCCACCCCCTCACAAGGAATTGAAGGGCAGAGGCAAGACTACTGTGCACAGCTCGGTGAAGTAACCTCTGCAACGGCCTGTGTGTCATGCAGGGACCCTCAGGAGAGAGGACTGCCTTTCGGCTGATTTGTTTCTTTCTTTCTGAATATTTAATTTAATTTAATTTTATGTGCATAGATGTAAGGGTGCCAGAGTCCCTGGAACTGAAGTTATAGACAGTTGTGAGTCACCAGGTGGGGTGCTGGGAATTGAGCCCCGATCCTCTGGAAGAACAGTCTGCTCTTGACTGCTGAGCCATCTCTCCAGGCCCCGGATTGTTTCTTTCTGTACATTGAATTTTATGTCATACATCACACTTGCTCTATGAAGATGAGGTTAGATGCTGGACCTCCTACTTTGAATGCCCAAGAGTTGAGCTCATAAAATGGGGGCTGCATGTGGCCAGTTTTACTTGAACTGTCCAGGATATTGCTGGGGCTTCTGGACTGGAGGCTGTGGGACCTTTTCTATTTGCTTTCTGCAGAAAACACCAGTACAGATAATACACACTTCTACTGAAAATAAGATTTATACAAATAATTCGTTGAGTAATTAAGCATTAAGGGAGCTGGGTGATGGACAGCAGACAAAAGCATTAGCCACACAAACTAGCCTGGTGATCACAGAGCCACGCAAAAGGCCGGATTTGGTAGCCGCATCTATAATCCCAGCACGCCTACGGTGAGATGGCAGGCGGAGATGAGAGGATCGCCTAGACGCTCAGTTCAGCTGGCCTGCAGCAGGGGCATAGCCACAGGAGCAGGAGGAAGGTTTGCAATGATGCCCAATGCCTATACACCTGAGAGGCACCAAAGAAGGATTGCTCCAAGTTCAAGGCCAGCCAAGAGAGTAAGAGCCTGCCTCAAAAAGAAATCATGATCAAGTTGAGCAGTAGTGGCTCAGGCCCTTAATCCCAGCACTCAGGAAGCAGAGGTAGGCAGATCTCTGTGAGTTCAAGGCCAGCCTGGTCTACAGAGCGAGCTCCAGGATAGCCAAGGCTACATAGAGAAACCCTGTCTTGAGGGGAAAAAAGGATGTAAAAAAAAAAAATCATGAACAAGGCCAGGTGTGGTGGTGCACATACATTTAATCTAATCCTAGCACTTGGGAGACAGACGTCGGCTGATCTACATAGTTTCAGGACAGCCATGACTACATAATGAAACCGTCTCAAAAAAACAAATGAATATGAACAACCAAACACAAAAGCCACCAGTAGAAGGCCTGTGAGAGTGCCCTTTCTGTAAAGGGTAAATGTCTGGGGACAAGGAGCCCCATTCTTTCATACTCCACATGAGAAATTTCTCTAATGTAGGGCTGAGAAATGTCGCTTCCCTTGGGATGTCTGTTTCCTACCTGCATGCAAAAGATGTGCTGAGCATCTGTGGACAGACTCTAGAGCAAAGCTGCCACCCAGGAAGTCAGTTCCTGTTCTCACCAGTGGAGTCAGACTGGAGAATCAGAGCCTGCCCAGGGGAAGCTGCTTGCTCTGGTGAGAACGGAGAACCCTTTCACGTTGACCGTTTTCCTGGGGCACTTGGAGCTGGAAGCTGTAGGTTTCAGCTGCCCCCATCTACACTCACTTCAGATGCTGCGAGTCCTTTCTCTGCTTGTTTTCCCCTTTTGCAAGTTCACTATCCAAATTGGCAACCCCAACTTGCTCAGAATCAGAAAGTTTTTAAGCGTCAGTGTCGCGCCATAGTGGAAAATTCCACCCCCCCACAGGGCCCATCCAATGGGCTTTACTCAAAGCTCAGGCTCACAAAACACAGTGCTTGAGATCACCTTCAGGCTGTTAATGTATGTGGGGTATGTGGGATATCTGTGGATTGCTTGTCTAGACCTGAGTTTCATCCTCAAGATATTTCATTATGTGTACACAAATACGCCCCAAACCATAATACTACTGGCTCCAAGGATTTTTCATAATGATATTTAACTTGTATATATTTTTATCATGGATGACCTTGGATTTCTCATTGGAGGAGGCAGATTCTCAAGCCTTCTACTGGTGTTTTGTGTTGTTTGATTTCCAGAAACACAGCAAACAGAAAGCTACTGCTGAACTTGGGGTGCAAATGAGAGCTCTGAGAGCAGCTAAAGCTTTTGCTGTTTGGAGCCCCCTGAGGGTATGAGTGGGAACAAACATTGTAGCAGTTCCTCCCTTGCTCCTGCGCTGGGGGTCTGCAGCCCTGGGGAGTCTCAGGGAGTACGGTTAGGGGGCCGCTGGCTTCCATCCCCCCACACACAACAAAAGGAGAGGCACACTTAGAACTCAGCTGGAGCCTGCAGTCTGCAGGGTCTCTCTGTGGTTCTAGCTGTCCTGGAACTCACTCTGTACACTAGACTCCAACTCACAGAGAGATCTGTCTCTGCCTCCCCAAGTGCTGGGACTAAAGATGTGCACCACCACACCGGGATAGCTTACGGTCTTTCAGGCTTCGCCTTGTTCTTGTCCAAGGGCATCAGGAAAGCAAAGGGTTCTGGGTGGCATGCCTCGAAGACCATTCATGCAGGAACTTCTCCCAACTGCTCTGAGCTTGTTTGAAATGCTACTGTTTGCACTGAAAACTCAGTCCCAGCCAGGCATGGTGGCACACACTTGTAGTTCTGCTGTGCAACAGGTAGAGGCAGGAGGATGAGAGGGTCAAGGCCAGACTTGACTACATAATGAGTTTGAAGCCAGCCTGAGCTATATGACACCCTGTCTCAAAAAAACAAACCACCCAACCAGAACACAACAAATAAAACCCACCAATGCCCTCCTTCCCTCTCCAGCTTCCTCCTGCCAGGGCAAGGCCATGGTTAGGGCTGCCCTTTGAGCATCTAATTTGGCTGACCCTGTGACCTTGGACACTTGACCTGAGGCCTCTCTGAACCTCAGATGCTTCCTCTGGAAAGGGCAGATATAAAGCATGAGGAGAAGGAGGGTGGGAGCTGCCATTGCAGAGCCTCTTCCGCCCCAGCTTCCAGGAGACAGGCTGGACCCTCCTGGGGAAGGACTCAGTCCCAGCCTCCACGACTCCTAAGATCTTCCTGATTCTGTCCAGGACAAGTCCGCACTTGAGTCAGGCCTCTCCAGAGGACTTCCTTGTTTTTTTCAGAACCCTTTCTCTCACTCTGCTGCACTGTGACTCTTCCTCTTCTTTACTTCACATCACTTGCTTTGTAGAATAAGAGAGGCTTTGTAGGCAGCGCACAGCGGTTCACACCTGTATTCCCCAGTACTTGGGAAACTGAGGTAGGGAGACGGTAAGTTTGAGACCAGCCTTACATTGTGAGACCCTGCCTGAAGGAGAAGGTAAGCCTGGGTAACACGAAGAGCTTCTAGAAGGGGAGCCAAGAGGCCTGGGTCTCGCCCTGCCCTTTCGTAACTTGCCACGTGATCTTGAATAGGTGAGTGACCTTCCTGGCTCTCTGCCCACATCTGATCTGAGAGAGGCAGATCAAGAACCCGAGGAGGGGAGAGATAGGCCATCTGCAGACTGCCCCTTAGAGTAAGCATGCCTGAGGCCTTGGCCAATCGCTACTCACCATAAACTCCTTTCATCTTCCGAATCAAAGGGTGGTTTCTACCCGCCCTCTGGCCTTGACCCTTTCCTCTGGGCACAGGGACAGGTGAGGACCCGGCTCATCAAAGCTCCAGGCTTTCGGATCTCACATCTCTCTCCTGTCTAGTTTCCCCAAACAGCAGGATCAAAGTCCACAGAGACTGACACCAGGGCAGGGAGGCAGTAACTCTGCCTTAGTCCTTGCTGCCCTCTTGGGGAGGAGAGCCCAGCACTGCCACAGTGCACTGCTGGAGGTAGGGTTGGAGCCTTAAGAAAAGCTGTTCCTGGCCCCAGTGAGGGAGCTAAAGCTCACCTCACTTCTCTGGTCCATTTCCTCTCAGCTCCCAGCCTCTATAAACAGTAAATGGCCACAGTCAATGGCCAGCTTTAGGGCTTTGGTTTTGATACCAGCTTCCCTGGCCTGAATGCTGCAATTCCCTGCCACATCTGGGAATGAACTGTGGTTGGTTGGGGTCTGGTGCTTCCTGAAGTCTCCAAGAGCCCTCTGTGTCCCCAGTGCTGGGGCCAGGACAGGGGAAGCGGTGGACAGCCTGCCACCAGCTCGGTTGTAGAAAGTGGGTGCTTTGTTGCTTTACTTGCATGCCCTTCAAACGGAAACATTTTTTCTTCTTTCTTTTTGGAGTTTGTTTGATGAGACAGGGCTTTGTGTCGTTTAAACTGGTCTTAAACTTACTATGTAGCCAAGGTTGTCTTTGAACTCCAGATTCTCCCGCCTCTACCACCTGAGTGCTGAGATTACAGGAACGAGCCACCACACCTAGCTTCTTCCTTTTACTGGGATAGGGAACTGGGTTGATTTGGGCATTAGTGAGAGGGGCAGTATCTGGATGCCAGGGTGTCTAGCACGTGCCTCAGTCACAGCCCTGAGGGAGATGCTGTCTCCATCCAGGGGCTAACTCCCCATCCAACACCTTGTCAGAAGGCAAATGGTCAGTAGTCAAGTAGTCACAGCTCTTCTGTGAGCCGTGGTAGATGATAGTGGGCACACCACAGCCGCCTTAAACTGTGACATCCCCTTAACCCGCCTGATGCTGGCCCTGAATCTGGCAAGCTGGTCCAGTGTCACTCTCTGACCCTCGGACACCTGTGCTGAAAGCAATGTCAGATGCCTGTACATCTGGGCATTTCACACCTAACTCTTCATTATCTCCTCTAGCAGCCTACTGGCAGTCCCAGCAGGTTTCTCCTTCCTGTGATCAAGCTGGACTCCTAGACGAAGCCCAATTATCCCCAATGGAAGGCGAGACAGTGGCTAACACTGGGCCTACTTACAACTGGATTGGAACCCCTGTTCCCCTTACTTCATGACCCTGACTGAGCCTGAGATACGGCATATGCTATCCCCAGCAGCGTCTGGAAGAAGAGGGACACTAGAGGAAAAGGGCTATTTTAAAACCCTAGCAGTCACCTCAGTGGGAGGAGTCCACATCATTCCAACGCCCTTCCCTACACACCCGGGACTTCCAAGTCCAGGGTGCTTCTCGCGCCCACACCCACACTCACTTGGGTAGCGAAAGTAAAACTCGTTGTCCACGTTACTGAGGTTGTCCCTGTGCCACAGGGCAGCGTCGGTTTCGTGGTTGTAGCGGACAAACACCGCAAAGAGGAGGGCGGTGGCTCCCTGGAAGAGCAGGCACAGCAGCGGCAGGACCAGGCGCCGGCGGCGGGGAGCGCGGGCCATGGGCGCGATTGTGCCGTCCCGGCTCTGGCAGGGCTCTGCAGACCTGGCCGACTTCTGCTACGGCGGAGGTGAAGCCCCGCCCCCCCGGAGGCAGTACTCTCCTAGAGGAGCCCCACCCCTTAGCTCGAAGCGGCAAGGATGGTCCTGCTGAGGCACAGGTGATGATGCGCAAGCTTCCCCAACTGGGCCTCAGCTGCCAGGAGGGTGGTGAGAGGAGAAAAGGGACTCTCCCCCTCAAACCGGTGGTAGAGAGTGGCGCTCAAGAAACTAGCATCCCTTGAAGGTCCCACCTCGTCCCTCCAGAGTTAGGACAAGAAATGGAAAAAGGAAGGGCCGTTCCACCCTTCTCCTGAAAAGCACAGCCGGAGAATGGAGGGAAGACGGAGCTTTCTAGGCTTGGAGGACTAACCAGCCGTCTGAGCCTCAACAGCAGGGTCTCTCGCTTTCCCATCCCAGTCCGCGTCCCCTGGGGAATGGAGGTCTCGAAGGAAGGAGTCATTTCCTACAGAGCTGTCCACTGGAGTCCTGGCTAACAGCAAGGAATCGGACTGGTACTGGAAACCTGCTCGGCCTGGCTGTAGAGGTAAACCAGATGGCCCCTTTCGGAAGCCTCCGCTCCTGTCACTGGAGTGCTGGGCTGAGGTTGTGGCTCCAAAAGGAGGGCCTGCAGAGCCCACAGTCATGGGTGGGGCTGCTACCCACTGCAAACTGAGCCCCTGAAGGACTCTAGCAGGCAGAAACATTGGCACTTTTGGATCTGACACCTGCAGTCCACAGGCGCATTGCTCTTTCTTAGAAAAAGGCAGCTTGCTGGGCCTCTGCTCATTCCCCGCTGCTCCTCGTCTCCTCCTCTGTCTCATCAGGAACCTGAGCTTCTGCCCCTGCCCTTGTGTGGATTTAAAAGGACACCTGGATTGTAGGTGTCCAGTTTCCTGTACCAAGGGTCCAGCCAGGCACATGAAGGAGCAGAGGTCAGCCTCTGGTGGCGCAGCTCCCGGCTGGTACATGTGGGCCCCATTCAGAGCCTTCATCACTCTTCAGTCAGCAGAGTGATGACAACAGTTGTTTTCAGGATCCTTCTAGCACCAGGGAGGTATCTGATAACAGCCTTTAGATAATAGCTTAGCATCCATGGCAACCCCCACTGCCACCCCAGGACATCTCCTGTCTCAGGGGTGCCTCCTGAGTCCTGACTGGGGTCAGAACTTATTTGGGTTGTCCCAGCAGGGATAAACAGGCCCAGGGAGGGAACAGCCTTCTATGCCTCCAGAACTAGAGAGCAGGGAAGAGAGAGCTCTGATTCTAACCTCCTCTGCCTTATGGATGCCTCCCTTCATTTCAAATTCCGACAATGCCTGCTTCCTCCTTTTCTCTTCCTCATTCATTCATTCATTCATTCATTCATTCAATAAATACTCATGTAGTGTCTACCCTGGACTAGGTCCTGGGTTGTAACCAGGTATTCTAGTACAGGATATAACAGGCTTGGGTCCTGGAGACTCTGGCCTAGCAGATGTTGGTTCCTTGGTTGCTAAGTCAAGGGAGGGCTTCAGATGTTCCTTGGAAAGAGCTGGGCCAGCATATGGTCAGCACATGAGACAGTTACTCGCCTACGAAGTGTGACCTTGATGTACTAACAATACGTGACAGACACCAGCTGACATTCTTTCTAGTCCTATAGACCAAACCCTGAAGACCTTCTCTAAGACCCCACTGCCAGCCTGCTTCCTAGGAAGAGTCTCTGACTCACCACCCATCAGCTCTGGCTCTTTTAATGGCCTGCTGAAGTCTGGCCTTGGTCCCCTTCCGATGATCCTGTGAAGTGATGGGCTTCAGCCCTCACTCCTTTCTCAACTGCCCACCTCAGAAGGACAACTGTATCACCAGTCTCCATCCAGTCTAGTCTTGAGGTCTGCCCAATCTTTGACTTTCCATCTCTGGCTTCCAGCCAAGCATTTAAAAGACCAACGGGAGTGGTCTCCCGGCTGCCCTGGCCCGGCCTGCACAGGTTTTCCCTGGAGAATGGAGTGTCTGAGGTTACTGAGTAACTCAGTGTTGCTACAGGATGCTCTCCAGCAGGGCCGCCTCTTTCCTCTCCTTGCTGCCTTGGTTCAGGGTCCTAGGAGCTGTTGTCGCTGCTAGGCTCATTGACCATCTCCAGGGTGCTTAGGGGCAAAAAAGAAAATCAGTAAAGTTACAGTCATACAGGCACCCCACCATTCCTCCTCTCTCTCCCCACTTTCTCCCCTCCCTCCTTCTCTTCCTTCTTCATGTCTATACTGAACGACTCAGATAGATTACTGAGTACTCTCTGAGCCCCAGTTTCCTTGTTGGTAAGAATAGTAACATTTTCTACAAGGAACTCCAAATAATTCATATAGATGGCTGGCATTTTGACAAGCTCTCCACAGATGCAGTGATTATTTTAAATCTGATTGGCTACACAAGGTCAGTAAAGCTTCAACACTCTGAGGCCCAAGGAAAGAATCAGGTGCAGGGTAGATACTGTGCTCATGCTGACAGTATCTACTAGGAGCCTTGGAGACCTAGGATAGGTGTTTTCAGGAAACATGTTTCCCTGTTCCCACTTTTTTTTTTTTTTTTAATTTCGAAACAAGGTCTTATGTAGCTCAAGCTGGCTTCAGATTTGCTATTTAGTGGAGGGTGGCCTTGAACTTAAGATCTTCTTCCCTCCTCAATACTAGGGTTACAGGCCTCTGAGATCATGCCTGGATTGTTTGTTTGTTTGTTTGTTTGTTTGTTTGAAGCAGACTCTCACTAGGTAGCCTAGCTGGCCTCACACTGGAGGCAATCCCCCTGCTTTACCTCCCGAGTGCTGGGATTATGAGTGTGTGGCAACACTCTAGCTACACACAGTTAGTAAGCAGATTTAGGCAAAGGAAGAACTCTCCTTCTCCACAAACACATATTGAGTACTTAGTGGGGCTATGACAGAACAAGGTCTAGTTGGTGCCCTGGGCAGGGTCTGTAAGGGGAGGCGAGCAGACAGGTCATAGTGCACAGGGCTGTGATGGAGAGCTACCTGGGGCCCTGGTCAGAGGAAGCAATACCTGTGCTAGGACCTGAGGGCCATCCCTTTCACCTCAGCCCTCTCCTGTGAGAGCAGCAAAGACGCTGGGCCAGAGAGCTTTAATCTTACCTAAACCAACGGCCACTATGGCACTGTCCAAACAATACTGTCACACATACATATTACAATGTCAAAGCAAGGCAGGACAACAATAAAACATCGATTTGTCTCTAGAGGGCTGCCATGTTAGCCTCTGTGAAAAGCTTGTCGTGGGGCTTTAGGGAGATGGCTTAGCTAGCCTTAGGTCCCAGGGAAAAGCCAGAAGTGGGGGTGTGCATCTGCAATGCCAGCAGTCTCTAGTAGATGGGGGATGGAGACAGGAAAGGCATCTGGAAGCTCACGAGTCAGTGGACCTGGACCATACAGAAACAACAACTTGCCTCAGCAAAGTGGAAGTGGCAGCAGACCCCCAAAAGGTGTCCCCTGACCTCTCCATGCCTGCCTGCACTCACACAGGCACACACAAATAAATATGACTTTTTGAAAGACTTTGCCTGAATCAGATTACTTACTGTATTATGTTTTTCTTTAAAGATGTATTTATTATTTATACAGTGTTCTGCCTGCATGTGTGCCTGTAGGCAGAAGAAGGCACCAGATCTCATTATATGATGGTTGTGAGCCACCCTGTGGTTGCTGGGAATTGAACTCAGGACCTTTGGAAGAACAGCCAGTGCTCTTAACCTCTGAGCTAGTTCTCCAGCCTCCTGTGTTATTTTACCTGTAAGATACATTGGAGAAAAGGACTTTTTTAAATTTAATACTTTTTGTTTGTTTTGGTTTTTGGGACAGGATTTCTCTGTGCAGCCTTGGCATTCCTGGACTCAATTTATAGACCAGGCTGTCCTCAAACTCGCAGAGATCTGCCTGCCTCCGCCTCCTGAGTGCTGGGGTTACAGGCATGCGACACCGTACCCAGCTTAATACTTTTTCATACCTTTTTTTATTTCATTTCTTTCCCATTTCTTTCTTCATTTAATACACTGTTTGAATCACTGCCACACGTAAGTTTTGTCCTCCACACTCAACACCACTAAACACAACATGACTCGCTGCGTTTCTAGGATGCGAGCTAAACAAGAGTAGATTAAGCAGGCTGGAGAGATGGCTCAGTGAAGAGCACTGGCTGCTCTTTCAAAGGACCCAGCACCCACGTGGCAGCCCACAACTGTCTATAATGCCAATTCAAGGGATTGACACGTTCACAATAATGCACATAAAATAAAATTAAATAAATTATCTTAAAAACAAAAGTAGATCAAGCTCCCATGGTTTAACAGTGGCCCTGATTCAGTGGTTTAAGTGACAGGAAAGGGGCCACTGAGATGGCGCAGTAGGTAAAGCATTTGCCTCCGAGCCTGATGGACGACCCGAGTTCAATCCCTTGCACCCACACAGTGAAGGGAGAGAGCTGACTCTCACAAGCTGTCCCCTGATAGCCACAAATACAACACACATACAATAAGTAAATAAATGTAATTTTTATAACTTAAAAAAGAATAGCCCCAACTAACCTAAAAACTAAATACACTGGGCCAGAGAGATGGCTCAGCAATTAACAGCTGTTCTTCCAAAGGACCTGGGTTCAATTCCCAGCACCACATGGCAGCTCACAATTATCTGTAATTCTAGATCCACAGGATCTGACAGCCTCACACAGAACACCAATATACATAAATTTAAAAAAAAATAAAAGCTATAGAGAAATTTTAATTTACATGGCTGCTCTGGTAAGAGATCACATCAAAGACCTTCTAGGTCTGTGTGATCTGGCTGGAATACAAACACGTCTTTACTCCAGAAAACAGAGGCAAGCAGATCTGGTTTCAAGACCAGCCTGGTATAGAGCAAGTTTCAGGTAAAGAAAAGCTTAGGTCCAGGTGTGGCGGTTCATGCCTTTAATCCCAATCAATAAAGGTGAAGTTAGTTTGTAGAAGGAAGCACCACCCATGCTTGTAAAT